GCGAAGATGCGTTGTTCTCTGTAGTGTCAGACGAAATATGAAATTATATGCACATAATTTCAGAGATGGTCAAACTGGATCTCTAGGAAGATGCGTTGTTCTCTGTAGTGTCAGACGAAATATGAAATTATAGGAGCTATTTACATGGGACTGTTAAGATCGCACATTGGCACATAATTTCAGAGATGGTCAAACTGGATCTCTAGGAAGATGCGTTGTTCTCTGTAGTGTCAGACGAAATATGAAATTATAGGAGCTATTTACATGGGACTGTTAAGATCGCACATTGGCACATAATTTCAGAGATGGTCAAACTGGATCTCTAGGAAGATGCGTTGTTCTCTGTAGTGTCAGACGAAATATGAAATTATAGGAGCTATTTACATGGGACTGTTAAGATCGCACATTGGCACATAATTTCAGAGATGGTCAAACTGGATCTCTAGGAAGATGCGTTGTTCTCTGTAGTGTCAGACGAAATATGAAATTATAGGAGCTATTTACATGGGACTGTTAAGATCGCACATTGGCACATAATTTCAGAGATGGTCAAACTGGATCTCTAGGAAGATGCGTTGTTCTCTGTAGTGTCAGACGAAATATGAAATTATAGGAGCTATTTACATGGGACTGTTAAGATCGCACATTGGCACATAATTTCAGAGATGGTCAAACTGGATCTCTAGGAAGATGCGTTGTTCTCTGTAGTGTCAGACGAAATATGAAATTATAGGAGCTATTTACATGGGACTGTTAAGATCGCACATTGGCACATAATTTCAGAGATGGTCAAACTGGATCTCTAGGAAGAGTAGTTTAGACCTGATACAACTATCCACTATGAAAATGATATGATAACATTGTTTTCTAATTATGCATATCAAAATATATAGAAATATATTTGAAAAGTTGGCGATGGAAATAATTTCTTTGTCCACTACTAGACCGTCTGTCGCGGACTCATGGTTCAGGAATGAACTAAAAAGATGGTCGTCCTGGAGACAGTGACGTATAGTTGGTTGCCAGAAAGAGATTGAGTTGTGGTTTACGTATTTTACTTTTAATAACTGTCTTTAAGGAGTGAAATAACCAGTAAAATACATATTATATACCAAGTGTCAAAGAAAAAAAAAAACAAAAAGAAAAGGAATAACATTAATGTCCAACACTCAGAGCTGTTGCTATTTCTCTCAGTGGCGTAACGGGAGGGTGTCCAGTGACGGGGGGAAAAGGCAAAATCCGTGGAGAAATTGGTGGTGGTGGTGGGGGGGGGGGGGGGGGGGGGGGGGGGGAGGTCGCCAAAAATAAATTGTTCCGAGAAAAATTTTTGGAGCCTATTATATTTTTAGTGGAGCAAAGGCGGCCCAAAGTGGCCGATTGACGGAGGGCCCCCAGCGGTTGCGTTACGCCACTGATTTCTCTCGTCCAATGATATGAGATACAAGAAAACATAAACTCTTTTATGTTCACCATTTTTATTGGATGGTAAAATATGGTACTATTTTTTACAAGTATAAATAACTCCTTCGCTGTTGTCATCCTTTGTCTGCCACCCAAAATGAGAGAAGTTAACTATATAATTGCCCAAAAATTGCTAATTGCTAACGCTCGAAAGCCTTCATGTCCTTTCGTCAGTGCTGCTATTTAATTTTATTGATACTTTTATATCTATAACGTTTTACTTTACTGTCTGTAAACCTGCGATAGGCCCATTGTACGTGAACTTTACATATATAGCTATAATTTTTAAGCATTGTACAATGAAAGTTTAACTAAATAAATAAGTGTGACTGTTTACATAATATTTTTGAGAATTTGATGAATTTCCGTCTCAAAGTCAAAGTTAATCTGCATGTGAGGGATAAGTATATTCATGTGATCATGCATATATGCCTCGCGGCCGATCTAAGGAGTGTCAACCAAAAGAAGTAGGAAAACTCGTGACATACATTCCAGGGGCCAGTTGGTCAAAGCTGGGTTAGCTTAACCCTATAGGTTAACTTAAAATTTAAAGCAAACTTCCTGACAGCTTGTTTATAAAATTGGAAATATTTCTTCAGAAATCGTCTTTGGATTGATAGAGTTTACTTCTCTGAAGTTTTGAAATAAACAGACGTGCAGAAATACATCAACTAAAACAGCGGGTTAAATTTTAACCCATGAGGGTTAGCGCTACCCACCTTTGAACAACTGGCCCCAGTGTATTTGAGATTATTCCGAAAGTATATAAAGGTTGATGAAATTTTTTATCTCAATTATAAATATATGAAATACAATATATAAAAATATATTTAAATATTAATTGTAAATATATATAATGAATAATTTAATTAGATATAAATTATTTTCGGCCGTGCTTTGCGTTTGGTACCAGGTCTTGATGCAACTAACTTTTTTTTAAGAGAAATTTTTCATGTTGCCAGATAATTTCGATTTTTTTCAACCGTTGTACTGAATGCTTGAAGAGCTATTAAAGTGCGAATTAACAGTAATCCAAGTCAGAATGTATGCTTGAAAAATTATATAGCCGCTTCGTAGCCTGTACAACAGGCACTTCCAAAAATTGCGCATGCGTCGTGTAACATGGCTTTAATAAAACTCTCCTAAAACAGTATTATACTACACTATAGGAAGAGTTATACTACAGAAAAACTAGATCATATTTATATTTATTTTCAAGAAGTCTTCATAATCACTGTATGACACATATATTAGGCAGTGATTAGAATGATGTTGTTATATGCTATTAACAACAACAACGGCAAAAACAACAACGACAACAACAACACTAAGACTACAAAACGAACATATAGTACAATACAAACGATTCAAAACGATACTAATTAGCTACATTAAGTGACTTAATTGAAGGCATGGCAAGTGTTTTGAAACTTGGGGTTGATTGGCAAAGATTGTTAAATGGGATGTGATTCCAGGTATAAACGATTGTTCTTGGATAAAATGAAAACTTATATATCAGTACATTGACACACGACTGAATTTGGCGGTAATTAAGGACAGATATTAGGCAGCCTGGATGATCTAGTCCAGAGGACACACGTCATCAGGAAGACTGAGTCTAACAATGGCCTGAGGAGATGGCCTTAAAGGCAAACTAGTAATACGAGAAAAAACCATTGCTGCAACTTGCGTCAAAAACAAATTTCAAGTCATGTTAGTTTTCATGTCTGCGCAAAAAAAGACAAAACATATTGAGGCACAGTACGTTATAATAAAACAATACATTCCTTCTATTTAATTAAAATGCATGCGTTTTATTGGCAAATCATGACAACTATATAAATATGTCACGTGAAGCATAGACCTGATAAAACTCATCTTCATTAGTATTCTTTATTTTAAGAGTGCTAATGAGACGGCATCTGTTGCCGGTCGTGTTTGAAGCTATTCAAAACACTTGTAGTCGTGTTTTATCGTTTTATCATATCTATAAATGCTCGTGTTGCACACTCACATATTAAGAATGATACTGTCTTACTGACACTCCTACGCGTGTTTTAAATAGTAGCTACGTCAGTTGCAGCAATTTGCGGCTTGTATTTGTCTTAAATCCAGCCGACAGCTTAGAAAATAAAACAAATTCCGACAAAAATAAGATATGGAGTAAAATGACTAAAGTCAAAGTCCATAGTACACCACAATGCATATACAATATCATGTCATATCACATTACATTGCGTCAAATTACTATTATTACGAACAATAGCAATAAAAACAACCATCTTGCAACGTGTGCACAATTACGTTCGGGAAGTATAACGCTAAACGCAACGAAATAAATAAAATAATGGACAGACGAAGTAGAGGCAACGATTCGATAACGACGTTTACCAATCAAGGTTTTCGCGGCGACAAGAATATGGCCGAAAGCAGAATGGACCAGGGCCACCAGGCATTAAATCCTTCTAGATTATGCAATTATAGAAACGGTCTTCCAGCCAGTGGCAGTGCTCAGGATAGACGAAACGATCAGAATTTAATGCCAATTTCTGAATGTCTTCGTCAATTTGCCCTTGAGGGATACACAAGGACATCGGAGCACCAACACTCAAGAAATATTGAACAACCTAAACCAACCAAGTATCAAAATAGCTGTATCATACTCTTGACGATCGTAGTCATGCTTGCGCCCATTGCTATATCAACCTATGTGTTTTTGAAACATGAACGAATAATTTCTTCGCCGTGCTCAACTCGTTCAGTGGGTAAGTAGAAGATCGCTCAGCCTTGCGTAACTTAAATATCCGGCTTGGGGAATTGGGTTATCTAAAATTAGGGACTGCAGCCAAAATTTAAAACTTAAAGGGGTATTTTAATAAGCAGCTTCAAAATACACAAGCGGCCAACCGCATCTTTTAAAATATACAATCCTTTAAGTGCTTGGGAATCTGACAGTGTTGCCGGGTTTAACCATGCATGAATAAGTGATGTTATTTCTCTTATGCTCCGAAACACAGTTGAAACGTCAATAATTAGAACTATATTTAACACATGATAACTTCACAGTGGTATAAAGCCGTAAAGGGGGAAAATGTCCCCAGCATTGCGCGAGAGTCGAAACGTCCAGGTTTTTACTCTCTTTCATGTGACTGGCAATCTGTTATATAAACTAAATATGAGAACTGATTGATCACATAAATGTCTATGACTAATGCGATATATTTCGGTCGGGTAATTTGAGGCAAATCGGCAGATGCCCTTTTGCCTCGCATTAATTGTCAATGATGTAGGCCGATAATTTTCAGAATGAATCAAGCATTGATCGGCATCCTGCATCATTTGCAAGCAGGGGCGTAGGAAGCTTAGAAAAGTTGGGGGGGGGCAGGCATTGAGGGACACTTTCAAAAAAAAAAGGGCATCTCAAAAAAAAATTTTGGCGACCCCCCCCCCATTTTTCCATACTTTTTCCATACATTTTACCATATTTTTCCTTAAATACTAAAAATTTTTTCCGGAAAAACAAATATATGATATTTTTATCGGAAACTAAAACATTTTTCGGGAAAAAACCTACATTACAGTTTTCAAAAGTTTCGTTTGGACAAAAACTGCGTATTTTATGAAAATTTTTCAGGCACAAAAAGGGCACTTTGCTCCTGTAAAAAGGGCACTTGCCAAAACTTGGGGGGGCCATGGCCCCCCTGGCCCCCCCGGTTCCTACGCCCCTGCCTTGCAGACTTTGGGACAGGGAGATATGTTGCAAGGTTTTGTTATGACCACCCTAAATAAGTTGCCCCATGTCAAACCTGACATCGTGAGAGTGGATGAAAAGTGGGAAGATTGGAATATGGAAGATCTTATTAAA